GAATTCTATGTATCAAGGATTCGTTTATTTAGGGAATGGACAAGAGAATTCAGACTGGCAATTTATGATTCCTATTTAAACCCGAATTTATCAAAGAACTTTCGTTCAAGGTTGAATGAGAAGAAAAATATTAAAATTCATTGTGGAATTTTTCGAAATATAATGAATATTAAATTAATTTAATTAATCATCCTTTTTGGTATCGTTAGTACTAAGTAGTCACACGTGTGCCAGAAACAAAAAGATGGACAGCTTCAACGCTGACCTATATTCTACACATAAACTAAATAAAACACGAGTAATCTATCCTAAAATTTCAAATTCTGATTAAAAATTTTAGGTCTGAAAAAAATCAGTTTTCTAAATATTCTCGTTTTTTCAAACCATCTCCAATATTTGCTTCTTAAATAATCGTTAAAGATTAAATTATATTTATAATTCAAACCAAGATTCAAAGAAACAATAAGATTAAAGATTTAAGAAAGGCTTGTGCTCAGTAGAAAAATATACAAATTATAACTTTTAACGAAAAAGGCCCCATTAGGTAATAGTTAAATAAAGATTATTTTAACTCTCTGATTATTAATTGGTCAAAGACCTTGACTTTTTTTTGTTTTATTATGAGACAGTGTATTTTGTGTGGTGCAATTCTCTTCTTTTTTTTAAGATCAAGTCTGAATAGTGTAAAGTTTATAGTGAATTATTTCACAACTTGCTTTATTTATAACAAGAGTTAATATTTTTTCAGTTCGCCATCTATCTTTATGTCATTTCCTTGTTCACAGTTAACAAAACGTATTGATCTTGTTTTAAAATTTACTGCGCATTTTTAGAAGCAGCAAGAACAAGACGAAATTGAGTAAGGAATTATTCTTATACGAAATAACTTCTACATACATTCAAACTTCAATTTTTTAAGATGGATCAATTGGTAGCATTTTTTTGTATGCCCTTAGCTTATGTCTTTCTGATACACCTAATTAAAAAAAACTTGCAAGATTCAGATTTAAAAATAAATTGAAACCAAATAACAACTGATCAAGCCATAATGCCATTTATAAGATTAAATGCTCATGCAAGCTTTCATATGTTGGACAAAAAATTAATCATTGAAAACAGATTTGCATAACACTGTCTCAGAATAAATATAAAAAAAATTCAATGTCGTTGATGAATGCATTTAGATCCATAAATAAATAAATCAAACATTTCAGGAAATTGAAAGATAAATTTAGCAAAATGATCAAGCTAATGTCAAATATGAAATTTAATGTGAATGTGGGCCAACATATGAAATATTGGGCTGACAACCTGTTTCATTCCTGTTTTTTGATGCAGCAACGAAAACTCTTATAGGGCTTCAAAAATTTGCTAAACGAAGTTAACTTACCTTATAAATATCTATTAATTGATGAATCACATTTAGAAGAGCATTGCAAGAAAAATAAATTTGAATATTTTACAACGTTTAATAAATCCTACAAGTTGAAATTGAACGTTCTTGAGATACTTAAGTTTCAGAACGGTGAATCGATGCACTGACACATTGAAGTCGAATCTAGTTTGCAATGACTTAATAAAAATAAGAAGCATTATAGAAACAGCTCATTATAGAAACTCACTAAAGATTTGCGAGAGAAATACCTATTACTCCTTTTTAATAATTTTGGTGCATTTGGAATCAGTTTTTTAATGACAGCCAATCAAATAAGACAAAACATTTTAAAATAGTTCCCAGGAAAAAAAAAGGAATTTCTTCATTTCTCAAGAAGTTTAATTAAGACTCTGTTAAGAAAAAGAAGCGTTTTAAAACTTTCAAGTAGATTCAAAAGTGTTTATATCTGATAAGAATGTGAAAAGAAACTCAAATTATAATTCACAATAAAAATTTAAAAAAAATTTTGTAGGTGCAATCTTATTTAATAACAATTGCTTGTTAGAAATAAAAGGAAACATATTTTGTAAATCGTGAAGTTGCAAAAAGAGAAGATCTTGAAAACATATCAAACAAGTGGTTTTCATTCATTGTGATTATCTTCCTTTTAAAGGCTGCTGTTCTTGTCTGAGAATATATGTGAAAGTTTTTCTTTTTCCAAAAAAAACCACAATTCTTATAAATTCTAAATGAGTAAAGAATTTGTTTACAAAAAGTTTCATATCCTTCTGTTTTTCATTTATATGTTGAATGATATGACCTTGAACGGTAAGCTTTCCGTTTCTGTGAATAAAATTTTAAAATTTAAAACATTTCAGACATTTTGTATTAATTGATTTTATCAAAAAAATTATATCTGTAGATGTCGACTCAGTTTTGATAATTGTGAGGATTTAAAGATGACTGATAATCTAATTTGCTGTCTTGAAATCAATGCAAGTAACACAACTGTTATAGGCAACCGTCATATTAGTCATTTAAAGTAATTTAGTTTTTTATATATTTTAATACTTTTATTTTAATGATATATTACACTGATATAGCAGAAATATCATTCACGAGAAGCAACACATCCGTTATTTCCTTTAGTTCTTCTTATCTGATTACACCTAGGTATATGACATTCATACAGATGATTATAATTCAGTTCATTCCCATATTGGCTCTTCTTATTCAAACATGGTTCTCACTCTATCACATTATTCAATATCGTCACGAGGTGAATGAAATCAAATCTCAAGTAAATAGTTTCGAGACCAAAATCGATGTATTAATTTTGACATAAATTATATATGATTGATTCTTTATTTCACGATATTTCCAAAAACTAAAAGGTTGTAATAGCAACTGATTTGGGAAGAGTTGCTTCACATTTACAGTTAGAAAGATGGGAAGTTCTCTTTTATATCTATACAAACGGCAGCGTATTAAAATCAAACTTAACACAACGATATACGACAACTGATGAGGCGATCCATAATATGACAACATGGACGCAAATTATTTTGCCGACGTCATCAAACGATCAGGTAGGCGAAGTGATGCTTGACAAAACAACCTTCCAAATGAGATTAAACAGTTTTCGCACTCAAATACTTTCTGGAGATAAAAATAAGCACACAGTGTTTAAGGTAAATTAAACTAAACGAGTTAATTTAGCATGCAGAAAAAATAATTTATTTCTTATGACATCCAATTAGGCAATGTTGTGGTACATGACTGTTAGCAATGCCATGCTCGATCATTTAACTTATCAAATTAAAGATTCAGACAAAAGTGGTATATGGCGGTGAGTTTCGTGACTTTTGCGATATCATTTTGTTAATGAAATCCTTAACTTTAACAGATATTTGATTGACTATAAAAATCTCTTTCGAAGGATCGAAAATATTGGTATAGCTGCTGTTTATGGTATCAATTATTTTGGCCGAGGTCATCTTAGTACTAATGCATATGTCAATTATATTAAATATGATACTCTTGGCAGAGATCTTTTAAATACTTCGTTTACTTTTGTTCAATCATTGGAAAAAGATTACATAAATGTTACAAATTTCCCTGAATATGAAAGCATCAAGAATCGGTTTGCGATAATCAAAATATTTTACAAACAATTATTTGCTTAATATTTGCAATTTTTGTAATTATAGAAGCAAAATAATTTCTTCTAACCGGAAAATCAACCCAAGCATTGGAGATGCAATAAAATATTACGAAACAATGACATTCTACATCGAACGTCTACAAAATATTCTTTCAAATTTAAGAAAAAGAATTAAGTATTAAAAAGTTTTCTTCAAAAATTTCCTTTAACATAAATTTCAATTTATTTACAATCCCCTGTCATATTCTTTCAGAGAAAAAGTTTGTTCATTGTTGAAAGAAGCAAGAGATAAAGAAGCAATTGGTTTCGCAATTCTTGTCTCGGTTCCAACAATAATTATAATTTTTCTGCGAAATACTATCGCCAGTATTCAGGTACTTTTAGTGATTATTAATTATGATAGGATTAATGAATGAGAGAGAAACATTCATCTTTATTCTTGTAATTAGTTATAACTTTTTAATGTTTTAAATGTAATTGAATTTAAGCACCAGCCTTTTTCCTAAAGCTTTAATAGGATTAATGAATACAGTCGTCATATTTGTATTTTTTTATATTTACGTAGATAAATTCAGTGAATCTCGTTCAGAAAGCGAGGGAACTTAAATTGGAACAAAAGAAAAGTGACACACTTTTATTTCAAATGCTTCCTAGGAGTGTTGCCATTAGGCTGAAGGAAACGCGCACGGTGATTTTCCAAGCAAATTACTATTTCATTTCTAACGTAAGTTATAAATTTTTATTTTCTCTCAAACAGGTACCAGCCGAATTTTTCGAGTCTGCTACTATTTACTTTTCAGACATCGTTGGTTTTACTGAGATTGCATCGACTTGTTCACCACTAGAAGTTTGTTCGTTTCTCAATTCAATTTATAAATTGTTTGATGAACGAATTGAATGCTATGATGTGTATAAAGTGGAAACTTGTGGTGATGCTTATATGGTCAGCTAAAATTTTTATGATACCAAAAATATTTACCTAAATAAATGTTTCTATCAATTTATGTCAGGTGGCAAGTGGCTTACCTGAAAGAAGCTACAGCAAGAAACACGTTTCAGAAATAGCAACAATGGCTTTAGACTTCTTAGATGCGTCAAGATATTTCGAAATTCCTCATTCACATAATGAAAAGCTTCAGATTCGTATCGGTATTCATACTGGAAGTGTGGGAGCGGGTAAAAATTTGTCTTATCTTATCCAAGTATTGTCTTCATTTCCAATTTTAGGTATCATAGGGACAAAAATGCCACGTTATTGCTTGTTCGGTGAGTAATGCTGATATTATATATTATGTACCTTTAGCCATCATTTCTCATTTACTAACAGGCGATACAGTAAATGTAGCAAGCAGGATGGAATCTACAGGGGAAGGTAAAATAAGAATTAAATTCTTTAATTATAAACTTCTTGAGAATGTCAAATCATAAACATTTCTTTCATAAATAGCTTCAAAAATTCATATCACCTCTGAAGTGAATGATGAACTGTAAGAATTTATTATTTAATTATCTTACAAGAATTAATTGAAAATGTCTATTTCTTGAAATGTCCAGCCAAGTTATTGGTGGTTTCACAACTGAAGCTCGTGGATTAATTAACGTTAAAGTGAGTTAAATAAAATATAATTGAAGATATTTTGAAGGAATTGACACAACTGACATTTGGTACTTCCGATAATAATTATTTAAACTCTTTTCTTATTCTTTTCTTAGGGGAAAGGATTAATGGAAACGTATTGGCTGATAAGGAAAAAAGAAAATCTAATCATTGAAGATGTTACGTAACGTCATAAAATATTTTGAAGAATCTTTACATCTTCGTCTAAAATTTTCGTTCTCTCAGCTCAAAGAAGAAATTTTGAAGAAGCGAAAAATACTTTTAATTTTATGAACTAGATACATATTAAAATTTTTTAAAAATTAAAAAGTTATTTCCAAGGCGATCCAGCTCATGTTGATTTTGCNCAACCTTGAAACTATTAGAATTATATAAATAATATGTGTATTTTATAATTAAATAATTTTTTTGACACAGCACAAAAATTTCTTTGTTTGTCTTGCGGGAAATATTGAAAGACCGCATTTGAAAATCACTAAAAACACTGATATTGGCACTTTGATAGGTTTTTTCATACCACTCTGATTATATGAGTTAAGAGGTATGGTGATCACTTATTTATTTCACTTGTTTATCACTAAAACCAGCTAAAATAAATAAATTAAATATTTTATCGAACCGACCTATCGGACAGTCCGACAAAATCCAATAAGTCAATCTTTTAATGACATGTTCGCAAAATTTTTTTACAAATTATGCAGAATCTAGAAAACCTAATAAAGTTACTTTTTTATTTAGGTAATTTTTTTCACACTCAGGATTTTACTTTTTATTATTAAAAAGTTACTTTTTTATTAACGGTTTTTGTTTGAAATGTCTAGTACGCGGACGTTGTTTTTCTATGAATGTCCGGGATATTCTTCTGTGTTATAAGCGCTTTTAAGAGCATGCAGTGTTGTAATTCTTAATACGAGTAAAATATTTTTCAGTAAAAATAAAAACTTGAAAATCCCTCATTCAAATCAAATGAACCAAAGTGAACACATCAAAGAACAACAGATAAGGAAATCGTCTTTCTGAAATCTTACTATTGAAATTTAAATTGTATCCAAGCCATGGAACAAGAGACTTTTTTTTCCGAGAAAGTTTCATTCGCGAACCAAAATTATAAAAAATATGGAACGACAACTCACAACAATTTGAAAAGAAATCAGCAATCTGAAGTTCTAATACGACATGATCTAACAAAAACAGATACTCTTCAAGGAATAGCGATACAATATGGATGCTCGGTAAGTGATAAAATATAGTTTTCGATAAAAACGTTTGAACGAAATGAGATTCTGAAAAAATTCCCTCAATGCTAATTGTTGTCATATGACGCACATTGTTTACTTTTAAACTAGTCTGCATACTTATATATCTTCAATCTATTGATTTCCTTTTAGATGGAGCAAATTAGAAGAGCAAACAGACTCTTCGCTAACGACAGTCTTTTTCTCCGCGCTTTCTTAATGATTCCTGTTAGCAAAGATTCACCGTTTTACCCTAAAGACGCTGAACAACGTCAATTTAATAATCACATGCTTGCTAAAAGAGCAAACACGATTGGAGGTCCGTCATCGTCTAAAAATTATTCACCAAGCGATTCAATGGACTCGTTAACAAGTCCAACAGATGACGACGAACATCGAAAATACATGGAAGAGTTTCTTGATAAAATCGATTCCAGTATCGCTTCATCAAAGAAAATGGTTCGGGAGCAACAGAAGAACAGCGACTTCATCACGTCAAGTCAAAGTGACGATTCTCTTTACAGCTCCGGCAATAGCTTTATTAACCACAATTACGATTTAGCACATCCCTCGGGGTCATCTTCATATCAACAATATCAATCATTAAACCATCAATCAGCGAGACATAGCTTGGGTGGAATGAGCAACGATTCAAACCAAATAATTGTTAGGACACAAGGACGTCACATAAAAAATTCACTTCAACGACTTGAGAAGCAGCAAGACGAGATATTTGAGTTGTAGCAGATAGCTGAGGCTCAGCTTTATCGCGTGATCAATGACCATCCAAGTTATTTACTTCGTTTGAGCACATTTAAAGATCGGTTGAGCCGAATCTTGTTTCATCGCAATAGTCGAAAACTCAAACGTCGATCATAGTATGAAAATTTAAGGTAAAAAGAGAAACAAAAATATGAAATTTTAGATATCTAGAAATGAAGTGAAGCAATTTTTTTCTTGACCTTAATTATTCCCTCTCCCCCACCTATAATAATCAAGTTTTGGAACTTTCATGACTCAAGTTAAGAAAACAAAAACAATGATAAACGATAACTCACTAAAAATCTTCTTATCACCTTTTTTTCTTATTAATTCCATTACAACACTTTCATGTGCTCAAGAGAAGTGAGATAACAGAAAATAAACTCAAATGAGATTATAAACGAATGAAATATTCGCAAATTATGCCTTAAAAGTTTTAAAACAAATTTTTATTGATGAAAGTGTGGCTGAAGATGGTGAAGATTTCTACATAAATTCGAAATTATGTTTTTATTAAATATTTTTTAGTTCACTTCCGTTGTGATAATTCTTTTTTATTCATTTCATGTGGAAGTTGCGAACGTGATGTTGTGTAACTTAAAATGTCACGCTTTTGAATTTTTTAATGAAATATTTTAGAGAAACAAGAAAAAAGTTTTCCACATTTTTGGCGTCCCAAATTTTTATTGCTGGTAATTTATTGAAATTATTCTTTTAATTCTGAATATTTGTAGAGTGTAAAAATGTTCTCAGAATTTTAGATGATTAATTTAAACAAATGCATTTAATAAATTAAAGATTACAATTTTAAGTAGATAATTTTGGAATATTTTTTAAATTTTGTTATTTAATGCAGAAGACTTCAAATGCATATCTTATCTGATTAAGTCACATTCAGTTTGTCATGAGAACTTTGCGCTCTGCAGATATCCAAAAAATAACAAAAATAACCTTAGGAGAAAAAAAATCTTTACTAAATATGAAGAAATATCAAAATATCGAATACAAATTGTGCTTCATCAAAGCGTGAAATTATCTACTTCATGTAGCTATGAACATCACAATTACATAATTAAATGTTACTAAATATTCGTCAATATCAATTGTATGTTTAACTTCACCTCCTCCCACATATTTACCTTAATTAATTATAGTTCACTCCATATACCTGTTGCAGGGCAGACAGATAAGAAAATTGTTAAAAGGACAAATTGTGTACAGTTAAAGTGGCAGGAACAATAACTTGAATTTGAATATTTATTTATCGAAATATGAAAGTCTATCTAATTAATGAAAATTGAAGATGAAAAATTAATGTTTAATAATAAAAATATTTATTTTATGGAATAATTCTAATGCTAATGAAATTTCTTGTTTTCAAATGTGAAAAACATTTCTAGAAAATTTAATTTTGCTTTTTCTCGTTCAAATTCCAAAAAGTGATGAAAGCAAAATTTTCAGAATTGAAAGAAATAGATAACAAAAAATCAATACGCTGACCTTGCCGATCATAAAACGACATTAAATAAACATCCCCACAAACACACACATTACAGCTTGTAGATATTTAAAATTGAGAATTGAAATTTCACGACGCAATTTAAGCTCAGCGTTTCTTCAAAACAAATTAAAATAAAAAGATGAGAGAAAGTCAAATGAAAACAAAAATCTTTTATTGCGAATGTTTGAGTTACATGTGACAACTTAATTTGATTATAATTCTGTAAATAATTTTACAATCTTTTGTTCATTAAGTATGAGATTGCCTCGCAGTTGATCAATCGTCTCGTGATGTTCTTTATTTAATCAGTTTCTCGAGTTGACCCAACTGATATTTTAAAGGTTCAATTGCACTTGCAGTTTCCCTGAATTTAAAAAAAAAAATTAATTAAAATTGAAAAATTGATAATCAATCGCTTACGTTTGTTCTCTTTTCAAATCAATCGTCGCTTGTTTGTAAATTTCATCCCATTTTGTGTATTCTCTTTGCATTGAATCTATGTCTTCTTGCACAAAATCCATCAACTTCCCCATTGGATTCACTGATCGAACTAACTTTTGAAGCAAATCTTTCAAATGTTCTTTTTGCTTAACATTTTTATCACGTCTTCTTGGCGCAGCAGGTCTCGAACTTGCTGGTCGAGCTGAAGGTGGTCGCAATGATGTGCGAGGTCGATCAACAGATTCCCGTTTATAAGACGATTGAAATCTTTCTGTTCTCTCAGATTGATTTGGGCGGTTTGATGCATCTGATGGCTCTGTTGATGGTGGCGGTTGCACTTCTTCAACTGACTTTTGTCGATGCTTTGCTGAAAATACTGCCCTGAAGTTAGCGATAAAAACTGTCGATAAAAAATAACCCAAAAATTGGGTTATTTTTTGCGATTCGCAAATTTAACCCAACTATTGGGTTAAATAACACAAATTTGGGTAATTAACCCATTTATTGGGCTAAATATCCTAATAGTTGGGTTAAATAACCCAAAAGATGGGCTACTTTTTATCGGTAGTTTTTAACGGCGATAAATAATTTATGGTTTAATAAATAGGGGGCGCTAAGGGTCTGGCGATAAAAAAAAATAACCCAAAGTTTTGAAGGTATCAATGTGTGTGTGCAATAACCCAAATTTACAGAATAACCCAAATTTGCAGAATAACCCAAATTTACAGAACAACCCAAATTTACAGAATAACCCTAATTTACAGAACAACCCAAATTTACAGAACAACCCAAATTTACAGAATAACTCAAATTTGCAGAATAACCCAAATTTACAGAAAGAAAATGTTATTTATTTATTTCTGTAAATTTGGGTTAATGAAATTGGTTATTAAAACAGTTTTCAGCAATACGGCTCATTACGCTTGAAAAGCACTTTAATTAAAAATGATTTTAGATAGCAGATGAATTAAAATATCACTTTATTTTAGAGTAGTCTCATTGTTAGATGACTGACTTGTCATTTAGTTCATTTAGTCAGCACGATGAAGATACTTGTCGTGTTTTTATTCTCCTGGATTAATTTTTCAGAAAGTGCTGTAAGTGCTGAAAATTTTCAAATGCTTCTAAATTTGTGTTATTATTTTTTGAACTTTATTTGACTAATTTAGCAACGATCTGCTCGCAAGTTTAATCCTTTGAAATGGGAAAATTGTCCAATGCACCTACCAGCTAAAGGATACATAAACTTACCCGAATCATTCACTAAGGAAGTGAACATCTCTGGTACTTTGGTTGTTTCTGAAGAAATAGCGGGAGATGTTATTTTCATAATAGATACGAACAAATGCGTGCAAACTAAACTTGAAATCATGCGAGAAGTTTACAACGGTAGAAAAATTAATTTTGATTTGACAAATGTTATTTACAATTTCTTATGTAGCTAAAAATCCGTGACGTCTGTGACCGTTTAGCTGACAAAAATCAATTTTACTCTGAAGCTATTGCAGCTATTCATCCTAATGTCAAATGTCCAATTAAAGTGGGAAACTATTCATTAAATCCAACAATTGTTGACATATCAGTGACTAACATATTCCCGCTGGATGATTCTGTATGGATAGCAAGCTTTAAGGCCATTTCAGTAACCAACAAAGGAAAAACTAAAAAAATTGTTTTCTGTATGAATACAGAAATAAAGATTTTTCGGGAAAAACTTTGAACTCTCAAATTTCACAACAAAAAATCGTTTCCTTAAATACCTTTTAGGTTCTTAAATTCTCGCACTTCAGCAGATAAAATTTGGAACAACTTCTTGTTATGCATTTGTAAAAACAAGAGTATTATGAGTGTTTGTTCACAAGTTGTTCTAAATACTTAAATTTAATATTAAGCATAAATTAGCTTTACTCATAACTAACTTATTTCTAAGCTGTAAATTATGTTTCAATTAAAGAAATAAATTTTACTTCAAATCTTAAGAAAACTTCACAGAAAAATATCACTGCAGTGAAAAGTTATCTGGAAATTAATAAATATATTCAAGCAGTGATATCGTGTGGAGCGATCTTCTAAGTCAACGTTAAAAAGAAATAAAATTTGACATTTTTGGTAAAGCTTGAGTTGATTAAAAGAACTTGTTATGACTCTTACGAAAAAAGCACTTGAAAATTTTTCTTTGACTTTATAGAATAAATGAGAAACCAATAACGAAACTTTTTTTATATTGAAGAATTTCAAAAAATATTAATAGCATTAAAACACGATTTTAAATGCTTCAGTTTTAAAATGAAAATCAACATTTAAGAAAATTTCAACCCTATCAAATAACATTTCAACATTAGGTATAATCAAAAATCACCAACTGTGGCCAACTATGGCAAAACATTTAAAACCTCATTTCCTGCAATGAAGAAACAAAAAATTATATAAAAGGGCTTTTCTACACGCACATTGGAAAAATTATTTAATATTTTTTGAAAATGAAGTTAATTTTGATGCTTTTTGTAAGTTGGTTGAGCTTAGCAGAAAATGCTGTAAGTTTCTAAAACATAAAATAAATTGAATATGTTTGAACTCAACATAAAATTTAAAGATCCTCTAAAAATTCTTTCAGAAATTAGTTAAAAAATTTTACCCCTTAAAGTGGGAGAATTGCCCAATTAATGCATCAATCCAAGCAGACTTATTTGTTCCTAGTGTATCCACAAAGTTCATAAATGTCTCTGGTGTATTTCATGTAAAGGAGGATATTATTGGTGCCTTAACGTTCACAGCAGAAACACATAAATGTTCATTGGATATGAAAAACTGTGAAAAATATTTGAACGTAGGTGTTATGGAATTTTGATAAAAATTTCTCTTGCTTATATTTTTTTTTAAGTTTTCGTTTAAAGATGTTTGTCGGCGTATTGAGGATAAGCATATGTTTTATTCTGCCATGCTTAGTAATATTGCACCACCGTTAATATGTCCTTTGAAGGCTGGAGATCACATTTTAAATCCTTCAGTTTTAGACTTGTCGATTCTTGATATCTTTCGTGCAGAAGGCTTTATCTGGATTACCAATTTTAAGACTATAGCAGTAAGTAACAAAGGTAAAACTAAGAAAAATGTATTTTGCATGGATGTTGAAGCTAAAATTGTGAGAGAGAAAATGTGAAGTCTTCTTATTAAATGACTAAACGTAAATGGATATTCACACAAATTGATCTTCGATATTTCTTAAAATTATAAATAAATATAAAATGTTTGAAGGGATCTCATTATGACGGAAGCAGTTTGAATTTTGTATAAACCTTAAATAAGAAATTAAAAACTAAAAGTAAGAAGAAGAAATTCAAAAATAATTTGATAAGCTTAAACAAACTTTTACATGTTATTACAACACCTAGGTATAAAAACTTCTATCCACAATAGAAGTTAGGTGTTGAATCGGAGAATTTTACATTTCAATTTCTCTCAAGTGCACATGATCTAATCAATAAATATTATCAGCATCATTACAATTAAAACTTCATTTCCTGCAATGAAGAAACAAAAAATATATAAAACGCTTTTCTACAGGCATTTTTGCAAAAAGATAATTTATCATTAGCAATGAATGTATTGTTGATTTTTGTAAGTTGGGTGAGCTTAGCAGAAAATGCTGTAAGTTTCAAAAATGAAAACAAATTCAATATAAAATTTATGTAATCTCTTAATTCATTTAGAAATTAGTTAGAAAATATTACCCTTTAAAATGGGAGAATTGTGCAATTAATGCATCAATCCAAGCAGACATATTTGCTCCTAATGTATCCACAAAGTTCATGAATATTTCTGGTGTATTTCATGTAAGGGAGGATATTCTTGGTGCCTTAACGTTCACATTAGAAAGCAACAAATGTTCATTGGATATGAAAAACTGCGAAAAACATTTGAACGTGAGCATTATGGAATTTTGAATCAGGGGTCAGAAGCTGAAGTGAGAGCTGGAAGCTTTTAGCAAAAAATCGTTAAGCTTCCGACCCCTGATTTTGATAAAAATTGCTTTTGCTTATATTTTTTTTAAGTTTTCGTTTAAAGACGTATGCCGACGTTTTGAGGAAAAACATATGTTTTACTCTGCTATATTTGATAGGATTGCACCACCGTTAATATGTCCTTTGAAGGCTGGAGATCACATTTTAAATCCTTCAGTTTTAGACTTGTCGATTCTTGATATCTTTCGTGCAGAAGGCTTTATCTGGATTACCAATTTAAAGATTATAGCAGTAAGCAACAAAGGCAAAACCAAGAAAAATGTATTTTGCATGGATGTTGAAACTAAAGTTGTGAGAGAGAAAATGTAGTCTTCTGATTAAAATTAACAAAAATTGATATTTACACAAATTGCACAAAGATATTTTTGGCATGATTATAAAATTATGAATACATTAAAAAAATCGGTTTTTGAAGAGATCTTATAATGAGAAAATTATTTTGAATTTAAACTAAAATTAAAATTTTCAGAAGAAAAACAACACAAAAATATTTGAATAAACTTAAAATAAACTTTAGAATGTTATTACGTTGTGAATATTCCAATATTAAAAATATATAGGTAATTCAAGCTTTGAATGGAAATATTTAACATTTTAATTCCTTTTTAACCGAACATGATCTTATCAAAAATCATTATCAGCAGCATTACAATTAAATTCTCATTTCCTGCAATGAAGAAACAAAAAATTATATAAAAGGGCTTTTCTACACGCACATGGGAAAGAATAATAATTTTTTTTTCAAAATGAAGTTGATGTTGATACTTTTTGCAAGTTGGGTGAGTTTAGCAGAAAATTCTGTAAGTTTCTAAAACGTAAAATAAATTAAATATGTTTGAACTCAACATAAAATTTAAAGATCCTCTAAAAATTCTTTCAGAAATTAGTTAGAAAATTTCACACTTTGAAGATGGAGAACTGTCGAATCAATGCATCAATCCAAGCGGACGTAGTTGCTCCAAAAGTGTCAACAAAATTTTTTAATTTCTCTGCTATATTCCATGTAAGGGAGGATATTCTTGGCAATTTAACGTTTACAGTAGACACAAACAAATGTTCTTTGGATATGAAAAACTGCGAAAAATATTTGAACGTAGGTGTGTCTAAATTTACAATTAGAATTGGTTTGCTTATTTTGCTTATTTTCATTTATTAAAAGTTTTCGTTTAAAGAGTTTTGCCGACGTTTTGAGGAAAAGCACATGTTTTACTCTGCCATGCTTAGTAATATTGCACCACCGTTAATATGTCCTTTTACAGCAGGAGATCACATTTTAAAGCCTTCAATTTTGGACTTTTCATTCGTTGATATGTTTCGTTTAGAAGGCTTTATCTGGGTTGCCAATTTCAGACTCATTGCAATAACCAACAAAGGAAAAACCAAAAAAATTGTATTTTGCTTAAATACTGAATCAAAAATTGTGCGAGAGAAAATATAAAGTCTTCCAATTTATTTATTAATGACGTTTCAGAAATTCATAACAGACAGCAGGAATTTCTTGACTTATTATTTGATCTGACTTGAAATAATTTTACGACTTGACTTACACGAGTGATTCAAAAGAGAAAATCTCTTGAATTAGATACGACAAACAAATCAATTTAAATAAAAAAATCAAACAAAATAATTTTTAAGCAAATGTTTTCTACATTTTCAGCTTAGAAAAACATCATCAAAATCTTTACTTCAAGTTCTAACGTGAATAATCAAATCAGTCTTTTTTTCTATGTATTTTAAAATTAAATTAAATTAGTTAATGCATGAGTATCATGAGTTTTTGATCACAAGCATAGATTTAATTTTTTAGGGACATTTTTGATGAATATAAAATTGATGGTACTTAATAAATATTAATAGGGTGAAAATACTTTCAAATGCTTCATTTTTAAATTATATACCAACATTAAGAAAATTTCAATCCTTTTCAAATGACCTTTCAACGTAAGATAATTAAACATCACTAATTACAGCAAAACAATTAAAAAATGATTTCCTGCAACAAACAAAAAATGTATAAAAGACTTTTGTGCACAACAATCGAAAAAATAATAAATCATTGGCAATGAATGTGTTGTTGATACTTCTTGTAAGTTTGTTGAGTTTAGCAGAAAATGCTGTAAGTTTCTAAAACGAAAGCAAATTCTATATGAAATCAATTTATGTATTCTCTTAATTCATTTAGAAATTAGTTAGAAAATATTATCCTTTAAAATGGGCGAATTGTCCAATTAATGCATCTATGCAAGTGGACGTGTTTGTTCCTAAAGTATTCACGAAATTCATGAACATGTCTGCTGTACTCCATATAAGGGAGAATATTCCTGGCAATTTAACGTTTACAGCAGAAACAAATAAATGTTCATTGGATATGAAAAACTGCGAAAAATATTTGGACGTAGGCGTTATGGAATTAGATTTGATAAAAATTGTGTTTGTCTAATTTTCTTTCTTTTTTAAGTTTTCGTTTAAAGATGTTTGTCGACTTATTGAGGATAAAAATATGTTTTACTCTGCTGCGCTTACTAATATTGCACCACCGTTAATATGTCCTTTCAAGGCTGGAGATCACATTTTAAAGCCTTCAGTTTTGGACTTGTCAATCGGTGAAATGTTTCGTGCGGAAGGCTTCATCTGGGTTGCCAATTTCAGGCTCATTGCAATAACAACAAAGGTAAAACCAAGAAAAATGTTATGTAAAGAACATAAGAGATATTTCAGGAAGGGACAAAGAAAGAAATCTGCTATGGCCAGAGTTGGGCGATCCATTTTCCGATACGGATCGCCGATCC